CATGTGATGTATTGGAAGTTGCATTCGTGATATTCGAGGTTTTTGATGGATCATGTAGTTTCTGGGGTTGATAGTATACTAATTCCATTGATCACTCAACTTGTTAGACTACAGTTGCTTGTGCCTGAGATCATGATCCTGTTTCCTTTCTTGGCAGGCACCATTTTCCTGCTGATCTGGCATGTAGTCGTTTTTGTTGGTATTGTGATTCAGACCCAGACTCCAAGCCAAGCGCCGAAAAGCGGCAACGCTTGGAATTTTCTCGATTGGAATCCAAAGCAGTTTGATTCCAGTGCAGTCGAGACGGAGCAGTTTCAAAAGGACTGGCGTCTGACTCAGCAGGACGCTATACTCGTCGTGATCTATACGTTCGACTTGATGCACAGGTCGCTTGTTATTGCCCCAGGTCGCTGACAATCCTTGACCATTTCGTTCCACTGGCAAGCCTTCAGTTAAGGCTGGAGCAAAACCCAGCACGATGGTGATGTAGCATGCCAGTAGTGTCATTGGAACACCCCCCCTGTTCTCATGCCGAGTGCGAACGAAAAACCTTTCCTAATTAATGGGACCTTTCCTGGCCGCGAAGTTTGTTCGACCCGTTTCCACCCAGCCACCTTCTTTGACAGGCATCCAGTGTCAGCACCAAAACTTGGCCCCAAGTCGTATCGCACCATGTCGGACGGGCCATTTGGAGCTCGCGGCTGCGCGCGCGCGCGCGCGCTGTTGCACCGCATGTTTTTGGGCTCGAAAGTTCTCTTCTCCACATCGCGAGGCTGAGGTTTTTCGAGGTCTTGACGTAGGTTCGGTTCGTACCTTCGTGTTCTTCCTACCGGGCCCCCTGTATGCATTCTCGCGCCTAGATATAGGTACAAACGAAACCATCGTACTGGCCGCGTTGTTCAGCGTCTTCGCGTTTAGAACAAAAAACCATCAAACAACTGGCAATTTGCCCTTGTTGGGTGCCCCAAACCTGCGTGTTTGGGCCGGAACGGCCGTGTCCCAAACCTGCCTTCAGCAAAAGTTGTGTTTGTACATCGATATGTTTGTCTTCTTTAGCAGACCACGATGGTTGTAAACAAAAAACAGCAGGACAAGACACAGCAACCAACCAAAACAACAGCACGTGCTTTATATAAAGTTGCTACTTCTCGGACCTTCATGGGGGGCAAATGTACATTGAACAAAAGTACATCATGCTATAAAATTGAAGCTTCGATCAGAGACACGGGGGGCCGTACGGACGTAGGCACCTAAAAGCCTTAGAAAAGAAAGAAAGAAAAACAGAAAGAGCAGCGCTAAAAGGGCAGGAGAGTAAGGTGTAGCAAAAAGTGAATACTTAGCCCTTGACTGGGGTAGGGAAACGAGCCTCAAGAACGACCTAAAAAGCCTGAGAGAAAGCCCAAAAAACGATGGAAAGCGTAAGAAAGAAAGTGGGGGGCAGGGAGGGGATGTATGCAGCATGTGTGTGTGTGTGTGTCCGTGTGTGTGTATGACTACCTAGCACTCTAGAGTTACTGACTACTTAGCAGAAGTGAATTAGGTGCAATAGTCAGGGAGCGGGACTTTAGTCTTACACCGCCCGGGTAGAGTAGACCAGAAAGGGACAACAGAGGGAAAGGCACCGACACACAAGCCTAAGTGTGTCGAATACAATTTCCCGCTGTTACCTTAATTAGAGGGAGGGGGGGGTTGGGGTGTGTGGGTAGAGAACGCGTTTGGGTTTTGTCTCCGTGAGCCCGGCGGAGTTGGTTTTGGGAATACAGTGGTGAAAAGAAAGGCTGTTAAGATAATCCAACGTGTGCAGAAAACCGCTGAATCAGTTAAATGTCGTTCCGGAGTGAAGGCAGCGCCCCAGTGACGGGGATCACACCCTGTACCCAAAGTGGGACGGCAGAGCGGCACACACTCTGACATTGGGTTTTCAGTTAACTCAGTTCCCAAGTCGAAGAAAGGTGATGCAACAGAAAGGCGAAGAGTCCAAGCACTTGTAGGTGTTTTAACAAATGAGTTTCTCTCATCTGCGGAAAACTGTGGTAGTGCAGCAGCAGCTCACGAACGGTGGAAAGCGGCGGAGGGAAACCTGTTTGTGGGGAGTAGCATGAAACCACCATGGAACCAAAAGGTGACAGAGTGGAGTAACGGCGTGTGCAAAAGTTCTTTCCGCAGGTACGTCACTGGATGTCTGCAGCGATATCAGTACCGCCACAGAAGCCTCTTCGTTGGACTGTCACTTCTGGTAGACAGCCCCCCTGCATGTAGAAAACTCTTGGACACAGAGTGTGACACACACACACACACGGTCGAATCATCCGATTTAATCACATGTTCAATGACGAGAGGCTTGACCAAACTATATATTTGTCTAATATTGTAGTGCACACAAAATGACTTCACGAAAAACAGAATTGAATCCGTGAGTGAGTGAAACAACGACTGAATGAATGAACCAAAGATTCATTCGATTGACGAATGAATTAATGTATCAATCAATCAATCCATCAAACAAACAATTAATCAATGAATCCATACTGCACATCAATCATTCAATAGTTTATAGTGACTGATACATAATATATATATAATAAGTTATATCCATATTATTTATGTATGTATATTGGGTCTGTCCTAATACCTGGAACAGACGGTATACAAGAATCAAGAACATCACCCTGCAACCTAACCATCTTCATCCACTGTTGATGGCATTTGTATTATATTGTGGGATATATAATATATATACATCCCATTCTGCCGCCCTTTTCGGTCCAAAACACAGACGGCCCTGGAAGAACTCATCCGAGGCGCAGAGAACGGTTCCAAGAACGCCTAAAACAAACTCGAAAAAAACCACTGGGAACCCAGGTTTACTTTCGGATGTTTGCTGGTTTTGCTTGTGTAGGTGTTTTTGTTGTTTGTGTTTTTTTCCATCTCCCCGGCTTGAACCTTTGGGTATGTGCAAAACTACACCGGGAACTCCACGGGATCTGAATCACCGGACGTCCCTGGATCCACGCTCTCCAGGCCTCCTGCGATGCTCTCCGTCGCGAATTATTTGAAGCGCCTTGGCTTCAGCGCGATGCACCGGTGGGGTCCGGTGCACCTTCCTCAGATGTGGTGTGCACCGGACCATGCACAGCCCACGGGTCACACGGGTCACTGTTTTTGGGCCGGTTTGTGATCCGACTCCTGACCATGAAGAGTGGACAAGGACATACAAGGACTGTATGTTCAACCTCTTAGCATCCCAAACGATTCCTTTGTGCATATGGGTTTGTCTCAAACAAGCTGACCACCCAGAATTCCTCATCTACTTCTCTCATCTCATGTGTTTTCAGGGCTCTTATATATAGTGCTCACACCCCATGCAAGCCTCCAGATATAGTATCACCAACGTATGTATGGCATGGCTCGATCTTGTGAATCGCACGATTCATCATGATCCTGCTACTTTGGGATGTTACAGGCGTGTGGCGGTTCTCCTGGTTCTGGGATGAACCGACTCGACGACAAACTGACACATCAGTTCTTCATCGGTTCTTCACATGGGTTCAGCAAACGGGCACCATGATCCCCAGCTATCAGGACATATATATATATATATGCGTCGCTGGATCCTGTAAACAGGGCACTCTTTGACCGACTTCCAATCAAGACGTTCCAGATGTGAACGGTCATGCGCAGATGTAAAGAGGCACCCTAGGATGGCTACATGACCTTGTTTTGGCCACCACCAAGCATGCTCTACTCCAAGTTGGGATACATCCACATATGTCCACAACTTGGCTAGGGACTAACGACCTTCATGTCGTGACTTGCTTGACATATATGTGTCACAATACACCTAGAACTAGAACTACTTAGTGAGCACATTGTTTGTTTGCCTATTATGCATGGGTAAAGGGCTTGCAGGCTTGCAGCAATGACATGGCCAGTACACTACTAGGGGCTCCTGGCCTTACTGGTCCTTAGTCGTCCTGGCTTGTTCGATCCGAACTGCTCCCCAGCAGATCCCGCCACTTCCCAGGAAGCCTCGCCGTGGTGAGCCCCCCCCAAGCGATGTGGAGCCAGGGTCGCCGGCCGTGGTCGGCTCCGGCATTGTGCAGGGTAGCCGAGAGAGGGAACCCACTCTCCAAGCTTCGGAAGAAGGCATGTATGTGCCATGGGAATAGGTATGGGGGCGGGGACATGTGGTTGAAGGCTTTGTGGTAATCACTCTCAATGGCCATAAAGGGGTGGACATGTGGTTCAAGGTGATTGGAATGATTGCCGAACCTTCTGGTCAGCCAGATTCAGATGGTTAGTGTGTTTGTGGCTAAGCCAATCAGGCCCGATCAAGTGATGTGCGAAAGCGAAGATGTCGATCAGTTGAGTGAGTGAACAAGTAAAAGAGAATCGAAGGGCTGCGACGCTGCAGTGCCGCTTTTTGCCATTTCACTGCCCACCTTTTCAAGCTGTTGGAAGAATCTTGAGACCAACAACGAGGAGATGACGAGATCTGCGATGGTGCACAACGCGAGTCGTGCACTGCATGTCGTTTCAGTACCGAAAGTCCCAAAACGTCTCGTCGCACCGAGGCAATGCCTAAGAGTGAAGGGCTTTTGCGTCATCAACAATGCTGTGAGTGAGCAGCCAACCCGGCTTGTCTTATTTGGGGGGAAGGACAATGTCACAATGTGCAATGTGAGTGCGTTTGAGATATTTTTTCAGCTGCATAGTAGGTCCAATAGATGAATTGTTGGATGAGTGTCGGCCGTGGAGCTGGTTACGGCCGTGGATGTTGCTTCAAAGCTGGGACCCCCAAGCAATGGGCATGCAATGAGTAGCTGCTTGCTTGACATTTTTGCAAAAAAGAGCAGGGACTACTGGTTTTGCTGGACAAGTGCTGACAAGCAACTGTGACAACCAATCAGTTTGAATGACTGAAATGCTTCATCCATAGTCACCCTTTCAGACGGGGCACACTTGCACACCTTCTCTTGACCCTTTCTCTTTGAGACGCCATGAACGTCTCATACGGGCTACCTCGCGACAGGATGCTGCAGACAGCCAGTGCTGAACTGGGGTCGCAGGAATGGTATCAGCCAGCGGTGCTGATCCAGGACCTGCGATGGAATCGAAGTCCCACATGAGAACAACCAATATGCTCGGAATGTTCACTGTTCATGCTGCCGCTTAGGCCTGTGTGATCCAAACATAACTAACCAATGAAGCAGCTATACATTTGTTTGAAGAGACACAGAAAACGCCAAAACACATTTCCATACATTTCCAGTTTCTTTCCTGGTGAAGCCACACCAAAATAGAAGATCGATGACCAAGCACTCGGTTATTTGCTGAGTTTGCCTTTGGGGTCACTCTAAGAGTTTGCTCCTTTTTAGGGGAAGGCGGGAAAACATCAGCGCAAACTATGCGCTTCCGTTCGCGGCTTCCATTTGCTTCTCGTCCCAAGTCGCCGTCAGCCCCAGGGAACTCAGACGCCAACTTGGCCCCCAGACTTCCGCCAGACCCTATCACCATCTATCACCCTCTAGCACCCCCAGACAGTCCTCCCGACTCGAGCTGCGCCTTGCGCCTCGTCTTCGCTGCGCCAGGAGGGTCTCCTGGGGGTTGAGGGGTCCAACCGCATCTGCCGAATGGCCTCAATCGACTTCCCAGATCAAGCCACCGATCAGTTCCAGGCGGGGTTTTTCGGGGTCCCGGGTGAGACCGTCTCACCGAAGCGTCTCGCCGCGGGGGTGGTGGAGACGTGAGGTGGAAGGAAGTGAAGCGAAGCTTAGCTCCGGACTGGGGTCACCAACTAGAAAGTTCCAAAAAGACAGTGCTTCAGTCCCATGTGAGTGTGGATGGCTCGTCATTCTTCACTTTGTCTTGGGTCGTATCCAAATGGGACGGGTCGGTGGTCAAAGACAAGAATCAGATGTTCAGCTTTGCCAAGGCCCATCACTGTACAGCGTTCGAGAAGATTTGGTAACAACATCATGCAGAAAAAACAAATTGTAACTAAGCTGTACCCCAATAGGCACCCCTTACAAACGTGGGATTGTCCACTTCCATGTTTGTTTCAGCCTTAAGGTGTTTTGATGTACTCATTGGTGTAGCCCATATCGTGATATTTTTTTTGTGATATATATAATATTATATATATATCCATATTGTAATGTAGTAGTGATAGTGTCGTAGTACTATGTAATCATGTTCATATATGGAAGATGCTCCATTTCCCATACAAGCCGCAGCTCTCAGCTCGGCACATGTTTCACCGTTTTGACCGCCGCTTACAACCACGCTATGCGAGTTGTCGCAGGATGGTCTTGCTGGTATCGATTTTGCAATGTGGAAGCTTGCTGAAGCGCCGTGCCCGCACCAGAAGGGTCTCGTACAGCCGACCCCCTCAAGAAGATCTGACCCATCATGACCCCCATTCACACGTCAGGAGCATGTGACAAAGGTTAAAATTCCTGAAAAAAGACACTGCATTTGCTTAGCGTCCAGAATGCCTCCCTCCGCATTTGCTTGACGTGAAGGGCCGACTCGACTCTTCCTTCACACCGTCCTTCGATTCGTCTCGTGGCTCGTCGCCACCCGCCCGCCGCCTTGCCCGGGACGAGCGACACGGTCGCCTCGACCGGCATCTCTTAGGCCGTTGGCCCCTTTCAAGACGAGTTGGGCTTCCGGTGCTGTGGGCGAAGCATCGGCTTCCTGCATCAGGTCTCCGCGAGGGGTTTTGGGTCGGTCCTAGGACGTCCGGAACTGCGAGGCGCCGGTCAAGGGCAGGGTTTGAGAAGCAACGTGGAGCTCGCCATGGAACATGCGAAAAGGGCAGGGTCAGGATGAAAGGGCATGTCGTCATGGCACTTGGTGGGGCTGGTTTGAGAATGCAAAGTCAACACGGTCCGGCAGGCGAGCGATCCAGACTTAGAAGAAGCGGAGCTGACCGACCAAGAGGCCAGTGATTGGCCCGGCACCCCCAGTTGCGGACGAACTGGTGTGAACGAGGACAGCTGCTCCAAACGATTTTCCAAGCGGCTGGCTGAGCCAGTCAAACAGGTGGCCTTTTGCTGTTGATTGGTTGATAACAATTGATTCACAGAGGGAATACCTTGAAGCGGAACAACAACAGGTAGATGATGGTAGATTGTATACGTTTTCAAGAATGGATATGAGCAGCGGTCAAAAACCTTATACATTGTTTAACGGTGGTATGGAAAATGGTTAGGATGTTGATTTTAAGTATTGGTTTAGTAGGGGGCCCCCAGCAGAATCATGCAAACGACCGTTGATTTTTTACTTGTCGTATATAGATGTGTTTATAATCAACATGATTCATTTGGTTTGGTTCATGAAATCCACCAGGACTCTACGTAGTGTGGTTGGGTTTGGTTTGGTGTAGCCACCAAACCCAACCACACAAGGACTACTAGGAGGGTAGCAACCACCAGCAACATGTAGCAACCACGTTGCAACCACCTTGGACCTTTGGGTAGGTGGGCTGCTGTCAAGCAGCACAACTACCCTCCTAGTAGGTTGCTACCACCCCCTCCGTAGGTTCCCCCAAAGCGGCAGAAACCCGAAGGGGGCAGCCAAAATTTCACATTGTCAATGGGAAACTAGACCCCCAAATTTTCTAGAGAAAAATTGTGGTTCATTTGCTCTATCAAAACAAATGTTCAAACCATTCATCCAAGCCAAATATCCTACGCACTCTATAGGACCACCAATCTTTTGTCCAAAGGTTTGCCTGAGCCTGGCCCTGACTGAGGAGCGCAATATTCACTAGCAGAAAGATCATGATCCTTGTGTTTTTGGGCCTGGGACCCAGTCTGACATGAGACTGCTGAAAAAGCCTGCTCAAGTTCGGCAGCAAATTCAGTGTCTGCTACAAGCGAAATCAAACAAAAAAGAATCAAGATAGAACCTGCCTAATAGACTGTACATGGCTACCCCAAAATCGAGCTGAGTCTTTTGCTACCCCAAAAGACGGCCGGCACGCCGCTTGAATCACGCTGTTCAACACCCGTGACGTACTGCCTCGTACTGCCAGGTCCAGGCAAAGGAACCCTAGAGATGCAACCCTATGACGATGAGCGGGGTGCCCGAGTCGCAGCGCGGCGAAGAAACGACCTTCGTTCGCTGGATCTCCACTTGGTTCAGTGCCAAGAACGTTCAGCACCTTGATATTCAATCGCCTTCCTCAGGTTCAATTTCCGGAAGCCATGCATGCAGCCATTGTTGCTGGTTTAAAAGAAAAAAAACCTCTCAATCAATCTCTCCTCACATGCTTTGCTGTCGGTTGTGCTTCAAAACAAGCCCGCCCTGAAGAATACCACAAGCCGAGTTGTTTGACTAAGAAGGGACTCAGCAGGGTCGCACTGCCCTGATCGTGGTGGCCACCTGCCAATGCCAAACCAGGCCCATACCATCCCTGTACAGAAGTGCCGGTATTGTAGGATCATATTGATTCATATAGTATCAATGTATAGTCATGTCATGTCGACCTTAGGGTAGGTGCCCACATTTTCTCCCATCCACCCCAATCCATGTGTTGGCGCCAGGGCCAATGTATCCGAGATCACTACGGTGCCTGGCCTTGTCGTGGCCTGGCAAGACAGTGCCATCTCGGTGCCGAGCGCCACTGTCCAATGACGACTCGTCTTACTGGGGAGGCTCAAACACTTTGGCCTGTCCGAGTTTTGCCAATTACGTTCCTTCCGGGTGAAAAAAAGCACTTCCGGCGTCATGTCGATCTTGTTTTCTTTTTGCGAACTTGATGATTATTTGGCAGCTGGCAGATTTTGGCAGGATTTGAGGAATTTGTTGCCAGCCTTACAAAGATGTGACATCCCACCACGGCTTGAAGTCGATACCTTCGCTTTGTCCAGGCGACTTCGACGCACGGACGCGCGGACATACGGCTGAGGTGGTTCTTCGAACCGACCAACTCTCCTTCAAGTTTTTCTGCAGAGGTCGAGAGGTCCGCGCGCGATCCTTTGAGGTCTGAGGTCTGAGGTCTGATGTTTTCGTGCTGAGAAGCTGCGTGTGTTTGACTCAGACTGTCTTGTGATAAAATCGGATGTGTTTCACCATGCTCGAACCGAAGCCTTCAAAGGGCGCTCTTCGCAACGACCGGTCCGCGGAGTCCGGTTTTGCTTCGGAGTAGTGGAGGCGACGCATGTGGCGAGCTCCTTTATGCTGCAAAACGATGTTTTGCGCATGCATCGCAACAAGTGGCCTGGTGGGAAACGCGTTATTGGATTCTGTTTCAAGTCCAAGAAACGGACGAACAAGAACGTACATGTCGAAGGAAGGGGTTTCAAGCGCCTTTTGTTCAATGGGTGATTTCACGCTGGATTTCCCAAGGGGGGGTTTTGTTTGGAAGTGTTTGGAGAGGCGGAGACGATTCATTGGGACTTGGGACTAAGTTTTAGACGACATCCCACAAGCAAAGTAGATGGCAATGGCCCCTCCTCCACTCCTGAAGGGCCTATTCTTGGTTCATCTTGGTTCAGATCACGAAAGCGAGCTCAGAAGGAGCTCAGCGGAAGTTGTTGTTTACGAAATATGGTGCGGCTCAAAATTGAATGGTTCAGTGAACTAATTTGATTCTTTCAATTAAAGGGAGGGGTTAGCCGAGGGGGGGGCCCACCCCCTCCCTTTTTATTGATTCTTTCAATAACATCCCCTTCCCTCGCAAAGGAATTGATATTTCAATTGCAGATTGAAACGTCTAAGGGGGGGGCAGCCCCCCCTGTAAAGTGAATTGAAAGAGGCTATTCGAGTCCTCCCTCGTCCTTGTGAGCAAGCATACCAAATGCCTAGAAAAGACAATATGAAAGTCGATGTGTTTTTTTAGTGTTCGGTTGACTCAGCCAACAACACTTTGAGCTCGTGGCACAAAAGCGTTGCGGTGCTGCCCTCCCTCCGCGTCCCCTTGATCCTTCCACACCCCTCGCTTTCGTCCCCACTGTCCTCAAGTATTTTCAGGTTCAAGTGAGCGAGTGAGTAAGTGAAAAATGGTGTTCCTGTGGCTGGTGCTATTTGTAAGCTAGGGTCTTGTTTGAACCAAACATGACCCTCTGGCTTTTGGGTCTTGCTAGGACCTTCCAAGAGGCAACATTACGGGCTTGTTTCTCACCAACCGTAACCCAAAAAGATCCTTGGAACAAACCACTATAGAAACCCGTGGACTGCATCCACATAGGACCATTTGTGGAATGAATCACTCATTGCGTCCCCTTTTCCTTCCTGCCTGCCCTTGGCGAAGCGACCTCGCCGTCCTCGAACGCCTGCGAGCGGTCCGCGCCGGAGGGGCGAGAGGTCCGCGCGCTCGCTGCACATCACCCCAGGTTAGAAGCACATCTCACTCCTGCCGCACAAGAGTTAGACCAATGGATCGACCAGCGGCTCAGGGCTCCTTGGGCGGAAGAAGAGAGAAAGAGGGGGGTGCAGAGGGGAGAAGAAGGGCGCTGGCAGAGCACGGCTGGGCTTCTGGGTTTCGTGGAAGTAGAAGTGAATCCTGATGGGACGGGTTGGCAGCATACTACTGGTGTCGATAGAGTTCCAAAGAAGGCCGACTTGGTGGGATTTGCAGTCGCTGGGCTCCGTGGCGTCGACCAAGGAGATTAAAGAGATGGAGGACGAGCCGACTGAGGATTGGAAGACCGAAGTGCCCAGGACCTGGTTGATCTAGTCGACGTGGAGGCGGTTTCTTCATCGATATATGGGATGGCAGACACTGGTCAGATTTGGGGGAATGAGATCCGGAGATTTGCGCGGGAAAGTGAAAAGAGCGCCTATAGTGAGGTAGAAGGAAGATTGCAAAGCTTCTTTCGGGTCCCAAGAAGATGTTGAAATCGTAGATCAGCAGCAATCGAAGCACATAGTCCTGCCAAGTTCGACCAAAATGAAGACTGAAGTGACTGAAGTGACAAATTGCCTGGAGGTACAACAACTGCTACATGTTAAAAAATTGCATAAAGTCATGCATCTTGAGTCGATGGACTGATCTCCCACATGTTTCCTTCTTTTGCTGGTGCACTGACCTGCCAGCAGTTTGTTGTTGATTTGTATTGGGCGAATCGCGAATCCCAGAACATCAGTCCCCTGCGGTGGCAAGAGTGTGGTTCAAACCATGCCCAAACGCTGCATGTCAGCACATTTGTCCCTACATTCACCACCAAAAAGCACCAAGTGTATGCCATATGTGCAAATATCGAGCATTCTGGATACTCTCAGATAGATTAGTCGCATCGGTTTGCACTGAATGTTGCCGTTACTTGTGTCGAAAGGTCTTCGGGAAGTCGCATCAGTTTCATGCTTCCATGGGGTTTTATAATGCTTTGAGAACATGCGACATGCAAATGATCTAGCTATTCCCTTGTTTTACGATGATTTCCACATGGGCACCTTTCTTTCAATGCTACTGGGGCCTGTAAACAGGAACCTGATGTGACCCTGATGTGACCCCGTCACATCGGGCCCCCCCTTGCAGATTAACAGTTTTCCAGTCACCTGATGTGACTAATATTGGTGACAGTATATAGTGATGCTTTATGTTTATTACCATATATAATTACCCTATATGACCCATTCATTGCGTATGGTATATGTTCTTCATTTTCTTTTCTCTATTCATTGCGTACATTTAGGCCATCAAGGGCCAAGGGCCCAAGGGCCCAAGGGCCAAGGAGTAGACTGACTCCTTCCATATACTACCATGTAGTACCTATAGTAGTACCATGTAGTACCCAAATAAGGCCCATAGAATGACCTCCACATATAGTTGTTTGAATGACCTCCATTTTGGACCACCAACCCTGGCACTTTCCGATCAAAAAAGGAGTCCAATGAGTTCTATCATTAGTTGGCCTTCTCGTCCCATGGCCGTTTCTCGTCCCGTTTGGAAAGCAACTCACGAACAGTCATGCAGGTGCGAATCAAACCCCACTCCAACCAAAAACATGTTCCAGCAGTCACAAAGGGGTGCTTAATGGAGGTTAGGGGTGCCCATTATCCACTCACTTAGGGACTAAACACCACCCCTTTGTGACTCCTGGTTGACCATATTTGGTGTGTTCATGATCAATATTTTGTTGACCAGTTGTTGGTTCCTTGTTCATTTTATGGCGCAGGAGCTTCATCCATGCTGCGAATCGTACATGGTTCAAGCGCCAAACCACAGTGGTCAGGGGAGCCGCAGCGAGGCCGGAGCGGGCAGAGGGAGGTCCTAACATCAGAGCTATGAGAAGTGACAGAAAAGTATGAGAAGTGACAGAAACGCCGCGACGCTTTGTTTGTTTGGTGACAGAATTGTTCACCAGTCACTTCAAACTGACCATGTTATACAATGTTGATATCCAATGAGGTTACTTGGGCCATGTTGGGCCTTTGAAGGTCACCTGGAGGGCTTTTTGGCCGTGCCATCCTGCCAAAGTGCCGTTATTTGCCTGGTGCTGTTCCCTGGCCTTGGGCTGTTTGGTTCTTATAGTTTGTTCTCATGTCCTGCAAGCATGCAATTTCCTCATTGTCCTTCTTAGTTGCTAGTACACACAAGAGGAAGACATAAGAGGATCTCCAACAAAGACGCCCCGGCTTGCCTCGACCAGGACACGAGGCTAGCACCTGCGTTTCTTTGGGAAGGGACGAAACATCACTGCAAGTCTTAAACAAAAAAAAGGCCTAAAGGTCTAAAGAAAAGAAGAAAAACACAAGAAGAAAAGGATGAAAACACTGCGAGGCTTCCGGTGACATGGGAGCCAGAGGTGTTCTTCCTCGGTCTGACGTCAGGCGCTTTGGTGGAGCTCCGAACGCGTCGTTGTTTGTCGGCCTGCGAACGCATGGGCTGTTGGAGAATGCAGAAGGAATTAAAGGAACTAAAGGAGCCCAGGTGTTCAACAGACATGCTAAGGGACGCTGAGGTGTTGGACATGGGTGTCGAGGTCAAAAAGCGGGATTCGCAGCAGGTGTCGACACTCCAGCTAGCGCAACATTCGCTGGTTTTTTGGGGGAAGGGAAAGGAAAGATGAGAAAGCACAACTCCAGTCCTGACTGAGGTTCCATCTAGTGTTGGGGGGATTTATATATATATATATATATCAGATGTTGTGATTAGTGAGGGTATAGTTCGATCATATATATATATAATGTTACAATGTTATATATTTGAGACAACTATCAATCCAAGCCATAGATGCTTGAACTCTTTAACTCAGTTCGATGGTCATCATCCAATCAGCGGGGCAGCGTGGCAGCCGCAGCACGGCCAGGTGCTGACACGGTGATCGAAGTACCGATCATGCGATGGGAGCACGACACAGTGTGCGGACTCATAGGTTTTCTAGCGACCATGGTGTATTGTGGTGCCTTTTTTGAGACTTCGGACGGCTTAAAGGCTGCGGGTAGATTTGCTTAAGAACAGCTTGACCATATTACACATGAGCAGTTCACATGAAGAACCGAAGAATACCAACTTTCACAAGCAGATGGGCTTATGACCCTTCGCCCGACTGCTGGAGGTATGACCCTTCGCCCGACTGCTGGAAGAAGGATCCTCCCAAAACCAATTGCAGGCGATCTTCTCGCCTCGATTTTCTCGCGAAACACGTGAGGATTGATCGTCCAATGGCTGACGTTGTTTTTCATGAGACTCCGTGGACGATGTTCCTTCTGAAACAGGGGGTCGGGGTCAAACTGAAACTGGAGGTTTGTCCTACTTTCTATCCAAATGGGTGTGGAGAGCCGAAGACAGAGACTTCATTTAGGTTTGGTCGTTGTTAGGTTTGAGGTCCGGAACAGGTTTGGACCTCTATCCATCTCCTTTTGTCACATTGCAATGGGCGGCAATGCCTACATCAGAGATCCCCTACCTACCTACCTGCCTGCCTGCCTGCCTGCCTGCCTAGCTGCCTATATACCTACTGTGCCTACCTAGCTGCTACTACTACTTCTACTACTTCTACAACAACAAATACTATATACTATGCTAGTTACTGCTACAACTACTATATACTACTAGAACTGCTACTAATACTTTTATTATACTCTACTGGAGAGCATCAATGATGTGGCAAGCAAGCTTAGTCTTAGGTTGTTCGTTTTAGGTGCTGGAACGGGAAGAGTCACCTCGCCACGATACCACATCTCACGTCACTTGGGTAATTTGGGCTCAGTCAAGAGCACGTTTTCAGTTGACGATATTGAAAGTGGACACGTTTTCAGGTTCCCCACTCTCTCTCTCCCTCATGTACCACTTTCCTTGCGAACCCGAAAACCACGTTGCTTGCAGGATCCTGCAGAATTCCCATCTCCCACCCCAACAAAAAATCCGTGCCTCGCTGTTGTCATTCTTTTTACATTTATGGCGCCGTGGCGCACGTGAAAACAACACGTCTCTGGTGTACCGGGGGCGCCCACCCGAATGGACGGTCAGCAGGAACCGATGTCGGCCACCGAGTTCGGCCACGAACGAAGAGGCATCACGACCACGGGGTGACCTGACAGGACAAAGCATGCAACCCAGTGGCCGGCTGAATCCATCCAAGCCACAGACATTTGCCTTCTGAACGTTACACCGCAACCACACTCCACCGGTGAACACCCTATATTTGGAAAGGGTAGGATGGCAATGCCGGGAAGGAAACTGGCCCAACCAAGCTCTCGCAACCTGCAACAAGTATTGCCCCAATGCTCTTGAACTCTCCAAGAAGACAAAGGGCTTACCTACAGGTTGCCCATCCCAACTGGTGTGCCCAACCTTTTGAAGGTCATGCATACCGGCACGCAAGTTCTACAGTGAGATCAACAGTTCGTACCTGACCAGAGACACAAGTAGCAAGTATGTTCGTACCAGAGACACGTGCGTGATTGAAAGAAGAATTGTTTAGACCAGGCATGCCTCATTTATTGATGGAGTGGACCTCTTTGACAACAAGCTCTTTGGCTTGTCGCTCGCAGAGACCAAAGGCCACGCACTCCGCGAGACGCGAGACCGCGTCTTGACCGCCTGTCGGCCTGTCGAATTCGGTGAACGTTTGCTCAGCGGCTCAGCGTGAGTGTTTAGTAGGAAGCATGGAGAAAAAGAATGAAATGTCAATCCTCCTTTCAGAAGAAAACACGGTGGATATCAGTGGATATTACAAATATTAGTACATGAAAAGATCAATCTTCGGAGTCTTTGCCGCAGATGCTCCCAGCGGAGAAATGCGAAGAACTGATTTGCATCGCCTCAATGGACATTCCTCAAAAAAGGCGGATCAACTTGGCTGGCTGACTAGTCTTTTTGCCTGCCCTCTTATCCAACAATCATGGAAGTAGGCCAGTGAGTTACTAACATGTTTAGATCCAGATGGCCAAATTCCCAATTCTAAGCCTTTGCAGCCCTTGCATTAAATAGGCAGATGGCATCAGATGGCCACGCAGCGTCTGCACACGGCACAGACTTTGCGGTCAGGTATGGATCCGGGGCAGAGGCTTGTCTTGGAGGTCACATACGACTCTCTCTACAGGAGCCGGTGCATGGAGCATTGAGAGCACTCTTATTTGATCTTATTTGATATGATGGCATGAAACCGCCAGAACGGATTTGAGAGACAACGAGTCTTGAGATTGCAATTGTCCGATTGTTGGATTTGAGATTCTTTGTAGGATTGCGACATTGATATGGCAAGTCTGGAGACAGCAAGTATTGCAATTAACAGCAGTAACAAAATCAGAGCACCCAAAGATGAAAAAAATTGGACGCCCGCACAGAGGGATCCTTGTCTCAGATATAAGATTGCTGTCAGGAGCGGAATGAAGAGAAGTAACTTGATCAACTCCACCGTCGGAATGTACGTCTCGACCTTGGCGAAATCGCCGCTCAACCACTCCAGCTGCCTCTTCGGCAGCTTTGGGTGGGCTTTGCAAATGTGGTCTCACCATGTCGTCTCGGAACCCCCAGCTCCGCCGATCGGTCGGTCCATGGATCGGACCGTCTTCCTGCGCGGGCAACGAGGTCGGCACCTCACAGAGTGAATGGAACCAAGCGGAGAAAGCCGCCGATGCCCGGGGAGCTCGGCAAACAGCGAGACGCGAGGGTCGGAAAGGGATCATGTTTCTGGGTGGGAAAAGGATCAACAGAGGAGGTTGGGTTGCCAATGGGTCTTTATGGCATGGAGCTAATTGTTCAGAGTGGGTTTGGTGGGTTTTGATATACTCCCGAGGTGCTAGCGGTGGAATTTGCGACTGATCACACTGTGAAGTCTTGAGCTTTTGACGGTCTACACCTATAAGTTCTGGTCTTAAGGTTTCGAAGCTTCGTCTCGACGGAAGGACGGGCAGACCCTGCTTTATGACCCTGACGGACCAGTTTAGCATCGCTTGGTCGATGCAGTCTGTGGATCTGTGGTGTGCATTCGATCGCATCCATCTCCCCAGCCAACTCCGCAGGGCTGCTGTAGGCTATAGCTCACATGTGGCTGCTTTCCCGGATCCACAAAGACGGGCGAATCGCTACGATCCGGCCAGGTGGGCATTTTCGGGGCTACGGGAGGAGCCCCCAGTATCACCGCCGGCCGTGCGCGCACCCAGCTGGAGGAAGCGGAAAAGCGCCAGGTGATGCCAGTGTGTTGGTCATGGTATGGTCAGTATCCTTGGATTCTTCTGGGCAAAATCCTTTTTGTGCTATCCCTGAAAGCAAAATTCCCAGGAGTCTTTTGGCAAGCGGCTACCTCTTGATACATCGTTTGTTCTATATGCAGTTGTTCTTATGAATTTAAGCTGAGAAGAGGATGCTTTTCGTGAAGGACCACCGGACCTAGATGGTGGTGCTCACTTTGGGCGACCTCTGGCAAGGTCAAGATCTGTTGTCATTTGGCACCAGGCACCCACGAAGTCCCACGAACAGAACCGAACAGATACTGTACATACCGTATTTAGCATTGCGCTCTCATGTTCCTTGCATAGAACCCCCCATCAATACAGTGAACGAACGTTTTCACAAGTCAAGAAGTCCCGCATTTCCCTGTAGAATGTTCACAAGACACGATACTTATCTTAGTAAGATTTGTATCGGCACTTTGTCAGTCCCCACACCTCAATCCATGATCTTGTTTCTCGTCCAAACTCTCACTCGCTCCGTGGAAAAAAAAACGAAACCAGCGACAAAAAAAAACGCGCTGGTGGTGGTGGTGTTTTCACAAACCACCGCGGACCACGGACTCCAGGCTTGAGCTTTTGCTTGGGCTGCAAGGGCGCCTCTTTAGCCATTGACACCGAGGATCGCGCGTCGGTCTCGCGTCCGGAACACTGGGTCCGTCGGATCAACATACCCATGCGACCGCCGCAAAAAGAATGAGGTTTATTGAATAATTGGACATATGTTAAAACAAAGCTTGAAGATCCCACGAATTGAATTGCAATGATGTTGTTTGTGGCTCAGTGCACCATACAGCCAGCCAAAGTCGACCAGCTTAAGGCAGATTGTTAAAGATTACAGTATGTTGACTCTAGGCCAAAAAGACTCCATCAGAATCAAAAGGCATTTATTTTGAGACCCAAACAGCCCTTTGAGTCCTAGACCTACTGGGGGTCAGGTATGTAGCAGAGATAAATGTAAGGTCCGGATGCGAGAGCCGCGGTATTTCTCTCAATGCTCAACATTCAATGGGAAGATAAATATGATAATTAAAGTGAATTCTCTGAATTCATGTGGTGGCAACAAAGTTTCAAGTGAATCAAGAGGTCATTTGACGTTCAAATGTGAAAAGCATGGGCGTTGATATATATATTTCTTTTTTTCCCCAGGAGAAAGGTATCATTTCTTCGATTTGTTGTGGTTGGAACTGCAAGGAAAAAACATCTTGGAACGGTGCAGGCTGATTGTTGAATTGCCAAATTGAAGTTCATCAACCAAAGATGCGGACCATGGTTCTGAGCCTTTTTGGTAGCTATTCTTGATTGAATCAGCTCCCCCCAAAAAAAGAATGTTCAACAAGAACACATCCGCCCTATGGAACCACATACCCTCTGAGAATGTGATTAGACACTCTGTTATTTTTGGGATTGTGCAGTTGTACCTTCTGAGAAGGTCAGTGGATCATAGTGGATCCCTAGATATCCAAAGGGCCCTAATCCGCCCCCCGGCCAATCTTCTTCGGCTTTCCAGGCGGCCTCTGGCCTGTCTGCGGTCTTCTGGGCGGCTGAGTCCGTCGAAAAGAAGGGCGCCGGACACATCCAGGAGCCGCTTTCACGCCGACGACCGGTCCATGATTCGGGGTAAGGTGAAGCTCTTATGAGATCATTTTTGCTTTGACAGACATCAAATACTCGAAAAAACAAAGAGGGGTGGCTACGCCACCCATGGGGCGACCCAGGAAACCTCGTGGCTACCGACCTGATGACACAGCCATTGGGAACGAACACGTGAACGAACACTGACGCTCTGAACTGGGAATCCAGCGCCAGGCAGCTTGATCTGCTTTTAGAGAGTGAGACCTCATATTATAAGTGGGCCTTCCACAATTCCACAATACCTGGACCCTCCAAAGTACTCTAGAAAATGGGACATTGCCCTATAAAAACAGGTAGGTGGCACTCCGAAAGGCGCAAGTTGGTGACCAAACACTTCCCTCGTTTGGGATCAAAGCTTTCTGTAAATTGCCTATCCCAGACACAACCCATGGGACTGCCATATACCTACATTGACCAGTCCCATGGGTTGTGTTTGGGTATTGATGTTTGCCTTTCTTTCGCTTGAAGAGCCGACCGTGGATCGGGGGCACACCCAACAAGTCTGAATGGATCATTGGGGGTGTCCCTCACCAAACGCGCAAAGGAATTTCTTCCGCCCATCCGCTTCCGCTTCCGCGCCGAAACCAACCGACCGCAAGGAAGCGGCCTGTGGAATTGGTGTGCACTTGTGCCTCGCCAAGGCCCTCGGCCCAGCGGGCGACATCGCATACGTTAACTGCCAAAGTCGAAGAACGAAGAGGTTCTTGGCCCCCTTGGAATTTGACCGGTTGCAAACACAGTTGGCCGGAAGCAAGGAGTTTTCACCTGACTTCGAGATTCCGGCCTGGGTTTGTATGCCATGTGTCCCGTCGTGCAATTCTGGGCCCCAACCACTTCCTTCCACGCCCTCCTCACGACCTCCTTGGGCTCCGGCTCCAGGCCTGGTGGCCTGCGCATACCGCTGCGGGCTTCCTGTGCCCTGGTGGTCGATGTTTCACTTTCGACTCCAGTGCGCAGGGCCACGTGAGGCGCCGCGAAGCGAGAGCACCGCGGAGAGATGGGTTGAGGTTAGGCCGCACCGCAGCTGGGCGCGGAAGCAAGGGCAGAACGTGAGGTGTTGGATCCACAACTTCTGGGATCATGTCGTGTTTTTACAATGGTTTGCACTCCCGAAAACCTAACATGAACCCTGAGAATGTGACCCGGAAAGATTGGTGTTTTTCCTCTAGTTAACCAGTGGTTTTCAAGGTCCATGTTTCAGTTTTACACGGATCATTTCATTCGTTCATGATCTTTCATGTGTGTTTCTTCTGTCAACGTCTCAAAGTGTGTCGTGACTTTAACGGCGAGAGGCACACAGCGAATCTGTACGTCGCAAAGACATACCGGAAGGTGTCTTGTTCTCTCACCAAAAGGTGCTCTCCGTTTGGGCGACGGCTCGGCTCTCCGTTGGGGTTGAGCGACACCGCGTCTTCTCCCTGCATGGGGGACTTGTGTATAGTTGGACTTCTCGGGGACCCCGGATGAGCGATTCCTCATTGTCTTCATCCATTTGACATCCATTTGACACCCCTTTTTGAAGGACCATGGCCATGATCTGTGATGATCTGTGCTTCTTCCTCGTTCGATCGACTCCTCGTTCGCTTGCCTGGTCTCACGCCCTCCCCTTCTTCGCCCTTGTGCGCCAGGTCGGAGGGTGTGGGCACTATGGTGCTGAAGTGTCAAGAGAAGATGGAAGCAATGGAGGTGCGGCGGAAGTGGAGACCCCAAACACCCAGGGCAGTTGGAGACCCCCCCAAAAGAACCACCGAGTCGACCGAGTCGAACGAGTCGACCGAGTCGTCTGAGTAAACCGCCCTAGTTCAGGCGTTTTGGGTGGAAGTTCTCGGATGGTTTGGTGATGTTTGGTGAGTAGTTATTGGAGTTCATGAAGATGTTCAGGTCTTATTCCAAGAGTTGATGGTACAGTATGAAGAAGTAGCCTTTTTATGGCGGTCAGATGCGAGCTCGCATGAATTTTTCTTGGTAGGGAGCAAAGCTGTGATGAAGTAAGTGCAAGATCCTTGAGTCAATCATCCTGATGTCAGGGTGATTGGTCTATCAGATCTCAGAAAGATTGGCTTGTGCTTACACCCACGGTCCAGAAGCTTTGGACGGATCATTGTGGAGACATTGTTCCATGCCGTTCCATGCAATTCGGATCATAGACCCAGAAGAATGGCTTCTTAATTCCATGTCTTTTCGACGTCGACGAGAAGTACTCCATGTGAAGCGTGGAGTAGTGCCGTATGTCTCTACGACCCATGGGACTGCCATATATGCCGATCAATTGACGCCCAATTGACGCCCAAAACCACCCCAATGGGGCGACAATCCTATGGCAGTCCCATTAGTCGTGTCCGGTCGTGTCTGGGTATGTCTTGCATCCCCGAATTGGTGGACGCCGTACCGGTGTGAAAGCACACATCCACCGATGTACCGATGTGTTCGGTCAGGTGAAGGACGATCAGTTGAACGTCGGCACACTGGTGGGTGGAGCCACCCAAAACAGTGGCAAGAGCGCGGGAATGTGGGGGCGCCCCAGTGGGACACCGAGGTGCCCCGGAAGGGGGGGGGGGGCAGGTCTCATGGGTCGACACGCCGACCCGCCGTGTTCTGCCAGGCTGCCAGCTGTTTGTGGTTCTTTTTGCAGGAAGCACAGGTGGAGAAGTGCTTTCATGAGTGAGAGGATCCGTTTTTCATAGCCTCTCCAACAATCCATGGATTCCATGGGCCGGGAAGTTTGGAAAGACCATGAGATATCCTCAAACTGGGGAAGTGAACTCACTCCACATCCAGGTAGTTGTTGCAGGTATCTAGTAGGCAGTTGTGGTGTCTTTTTTCGACGTTTTAGTGCGTTCACGCACCGATGTTCTCAGGAGTGCTCCAAATGGACCAGCAGAGCAGGCGGTGCTGATTGAGGTGACCTCCGGGTGACCGGGTGTGATCGGCGCGTGGGTCGAAACGGTTTCGATGAGAACGCATCATAGGCGCGTCCCAGCAAATGCTATGAAATGCTATGAAATGTGTGTGTTTTTTAATGTTTCAACAAGGAAAGTATCGTCTAACTCATAGTATCTCCTAGTTTTGGCATGGCCGAAGAAAGCCAGAAGAGCAACACATTATGATGTTATTCACCTTCTTTTAACTTGGCTGCATGAAGGAACCACCAAACATCACCAAGCCATTGCCTTGGCAAAAGAAGAAGTCGTGCAAGCCAAGGAAAACATGTGTTGCGCGTTTGGTCGTCCAGACCCTATGAGTCAGCTCCGCGACGAGTCAGCTCCGGGGCGAGGCCTGCCGCAAGTCTGGCATCATGGCCTTGGATGTGGACGTGGTGGAGTGCCATGGTTCAGGGCGTTTCATCGCAGATGCCGTGGAGGCGGCGGCTTCCGCCCGATCTTTTGGTGATGGTGGGTGTTCGGAGGCCAAACGCTGCTTTTTTGGTGGTTTTCACTATTGAATCACGTGACACTAAGATGTGATACCTCCCAACCAATGGGGTTTAGTCTGTATAGTTTTCGTTTTCCCGGCGGTTTTGGGGGGATCTCCCTAGTTCAATTGATCACACACCCTGTCCTGCTTTGCAGTTGAATGATGTTTGATCTAATGATTAATGGACTGCTGTAATAATACTGTAGATTGCATGGGCCACGTTAATATACGCCAGAGCTTGCGAAAACCCGATACCAAACCGGAGATGCAAACATGTTGCAACAGACTGAAGCATCAAAGATCTGGGAACCAGCAGACACCAAATCCACAAAACATAAAACTTAACTTAAAATCCAAGATTGTCGCTTCCAACATGGTGGCCTGCACTACTATTACTTACATGTCATACTTGTGCACTACGATTGAATGGTGGCCAGCTTGTTTTGCATACGGGTTATACCAACACGAACCGCTCCCTGTGTGGTTCCCCATTGCATAAAAGACAATTAAACAGTTCCCTTGCAAAATGAGACCAGGCTGCTTCTTGTGGTCGCGCACTTCGTGATGGAGCAGATGCAGATCAAGATGCCGAGATGCCGGGACTCCCAGCCTCGTGACCCAGGTGACCAAACAGGGCCTCGTTGACGCAGCGGCCCAGCGGCCTCGTGGGGTGCCGGCGCATGGCCAGAGCCATTTTGACGTGGAAAATCTTGAAGTGGTGGGATGGTGGAGGTCTTGTAGGCCGGCCTAAACAGGCGTGCGTTCTCAGTCATTGGATCTTCAGGATCAGTGCGCCGCGGGGCGGACTGGACAGACTGCAGCTTGCAGTGCAGCTTGCACTGCATAACTCCAGAACAGTGACGTATTGTTATTGTTGGTGGCATTATGTTTGATAGCTTAGAGGTTTAGTGGTTCTCAACTTCTCAACCCTGCAGTCTTTGACTCGAGCACTCAACAGTCATTTCGCAGCCCGCTCCCCGCAATTCCAATGACCATGAAGATGATCGCAGCTGCTGCCGGCGCCGCGGCGTTCCAAGGGCTTGCAGGACTCTTCGCGTCACTTGCAAGGGCAGCATGGGGCTGGCAGATGACAGTGCCCACCGATGCTGGCTTCACTTGCAGTGAAGGCACCACCATTGGATGTGCGATGGGTGGCCCAACTTGCATGGACTCCAACTTTACTTGCACAGTGACGGCAGATACTGGCAAGACTTGCGATGTGATGACCACAAATGTTGTGTGCTCCATTGCGGATGGTGCTCAGAACTTTGTGCCGGACTCCACTAACCCAATGTGTGCCCAGATGGCTGGGGATCACTACAATAACGCAAGCTTGTCTTGGAATCCGGTTCCCATGTGCACCAACGGCACACAAGCCACATCCGATTCCAGCATGAAGATGGTTGGCTTTGCTGCTGCATCGCTCGCGACTGCTCAGCTTTTCTGAGTGCCTTTGTCAACTTGCTTTGAGCTACACAATGACAATCCTTTTTTCCAGACATTTCCAGACTAAATTTTCAGCAGTGAGTGCTAGCGCTAAGCTGCCAGTGTCTTTCCTGCCTTGCTGTTTGCTTCAGCAGTCTTAGTCTGTGGTTTGACTGAATGCCCAACACGGCAAAGAGAAGAGCATCACGTGTACCGTGATTGCCACGTGTTGAGTGCGGTTACCAGCCCCACTTCAAGGTTGCAAAACAGGCACGACTTGTTAATGGAGTATCGGCACTCATGGATCCTATACGGATGTTATTGTGAGTAGAACGAGTCAAAATGTGAAATAGGCTTCGTTGCTGCAGGTGGTTTGCAAAACTCCAGAACAGTGATGTATTGTTGGTGGCATTTATGTTTAATAGCTTAGTGGTTTAGTGGTCTTCGCGTCACCTGCAAGGGCAGCATGGGGCTGGCAGATGACAGTGCCCACCGATGCTGGCTTCACTTGCAGTGAAGGCACCACCATTGGATGTGCGATGGGTGGCCCAACTTGCATGGACTCCAACTTTACTTGCACAGTGACGGCAGATACTGGCAAGACTTGCGATGTGATGACCACAAATGTTGTGTGCTCCATTGCGGATGGTGCTCAGAACTTTGTGCCGGACTCCACTAACCCAATGTGTGCCCAGATGGCTGGGGATCACTACAATAACGCAAGCTTGTCTTGGAATCCGGTTCCCATGTGCACCAACGGCACACAAGCCACATCCGATTCCAGCATGAAGATGGTTGGCTTTGCTGCTGCATCGCTCGCGACTGCTCAGCTTTTCTGAGTGCAAATGTAGCCTTTGCAACTTGCTCAAAGCTAGACGCAAGGCATTTTCCAGATGAGAGAGTTTTCAGCAGTGAGTGCTAGCACGAAGCGGCCAGCATCCTTCCTGCTTTCCTCTAATTCAGTTGTCTCGGCCCTTTTCCAGGGCTCTTCGTCGTTACCCAGATCACGCCAAGTTCAAGCGCAAAATGGTATCGGTTTCATGCAGTGCAGGAAGTGTTGTTGAGTTGTCAATATCGTTCACATTTGAGTCTCACTATTCCTGAAGATATACTCCGTATCATGTTTGTTATACTATGTGTTTTCCCTACATTTCCAGCTGCAAGCAATGGTTAAAGTTGCATCACAGACGCATGCCTTATTTAATTTGCTTGACATGCCTTGATCGTGTTTTCCGCCAGGGGGTAGAGGTGCGCATTGTGTTGGTCCATTGATGTCCATTTAGTGTTCCACATTCACCCTGAGGGTCACATTGTCTATTCCAGGGATGGACTTTCATATGTGTGAAACCTTCGTATTTTAAAGTGGCGCTTTGGACCGTGTCTGGGAGCTATCAGATGAGAAGCCCGTAACTTGGTCCTCCTTGTGCCGGAAGTGCAACCTGTGAGGCTGCAGCTGTGCAGTATGAAGTCGAACATTGGCAATTGCATCGAGACATCCGGCATTGCCTCCTTGATCAAGACTTTGCACAGCATCAGGCGGGGTCAACACGTGGGTGGAAATGGACCAACACCAAAACGATCCAAAACGTGTTGTAGGTTCCTATGAAATCATGAGTTCTCATGAATTCGTTGGAGGGAACTTGATATGTGTGTAATGTGTATGTTTAGTTTTCGGGAGCCGTGCATGTGTTTTTGTTTGTTCAGCCGGCTGAGTGTCTGTAGGAGTGGAGTGTCTGTAGGAGTGAAAGGAGCATGGCACACAGTGCCGCGCTGCCCCGACGACGGATTTGTTATTTGTCTCCTACTATAGGTATCCTGCATATCCTCATATTGTGCAATTTCCCAGTCACGAGGACTACAGCAGGCATTAGGCATTACTGGCCATTAGCATCCATTAGCATGTTATGTCATTACAAGAGTCACACCTCACAAATCCTCACCATTCCCTGCCGCATTTGGCGGTGTGGTGTTTTTTCACACCGACCAACCGGGTAGATGTTGCGCCAGGTGGGGCATTGTGTGCGCCAACAACCACTTGAACCAGCTGAATCCACATTTGGATCTTTCGAGCTGTCCGTCGATCCCTCAGTCACTCAGTCACTCCGCAGACCCGACCGCCGGTCCCAATTGTGGTCCTTCAGCTGAGCGGCCTCGTGGGCGCGGCTTCTCCTCGGAGGCCGAGGATAGGCTGAGTCGCCGTGGAGAGTCGGCGTCACCGGCTGGGGGAGAAAACATGGGGCCCAATGTGGAGGCGGATAGGAGCGGATAGGAGCGAACTTCGAAGGGAATTTGACACGCTTTGACGGTGTGGAATTTGACACTCTGAAAAAACGTTTTCGCAAGTCAGACTCAGCAAACATTCGAAGACGCTTAATTCAAAATGCCAGCACTTAGTGTGGCTGTCAGGCAAAACCCTGGAGCCCCAAACCCTGGTAGGTTGACCTACCTGGTAGTCTATTATGGGCATTTTCAGTGGTCAACTAAGGATCCCTCCCTGGTTTTGACCCACAGCCATATCATGCCATATAACCGACGGATCATCTCAGCTGCAACCGCGCCCCAAATAAGATCATCCATCCACCATCGTCCCGTCTTCGGGCCGGCCACCGTTCACCATCCATCATCCATCATCCCTCCATCGTCCCCCCCTTCTTTGGGCCGGCTCTCACCGAGGTTGTTGATGTGTACGGAGCCCACCGAGCAGAAGCTCTCCGCCGTCTTCATGGGTGTCTCCGCTTGGGGCTTCGGCGGCACCAACGTCCGGGTCCCGCAGCGGGCGCAGCGGGCGCAGCGGGCGCAGCGCTCCGGTGCTCGGGTGCTCGGGCAGAAAACCGAGAGGTCCTCAGGAATATTCGAGAGGATATAGAGGAAAATAGATGGGTCATACGGTCATACTGTAGTATGGAAAATCTAACAATATATGGTTGCTCAATGTGTTTCATGTGTTTCATGGTTTGTCCAAGCCCAAAAATGGTCCACTTCCATGATTGTTGCAGGCAGAGTAACTGTTTTGGGGGTTCGAAGTGACCGGGCACCGGTGGTTTGTGAGAACGTCACGCGACCACTTGGATGGAGTGTGTGTGTGTGTGTATCATGTGTAAACAGGGGTCATGCAAAAGAGGGGAAGCACAGCTCCTGAGGAGTTCCGAAGAATTTCGTTCATCCTGAGATCTTCCGTTCGCTTGCAACGTGACGTGACAAATCCCTGCCTTGGCTTCATGGGACAAGATGGCCTCCATTCACCCCAAAAGCCACCAGTCACTTGGGCGGCCATGGCAGTCTCATGGAGCCCTTTCAGCGAGGTGTTTCCTCCGTGTTTCACCACCGCAAGCGGCTTCGCAGCGGCACCACCGTTCCTGCGCTGCTAGGTCCATATGCACTGCTATGGTGGAGTGGATGAGGCGAACGACCCGAAACCGCCGATTCCGCGGTTCGCAGCGCCAAACCGTCCAGTAAACCCCATATGGGTTCGGGACCCCGGGAAAGTGCACGCGTGCCGTGCTCCTTTTTTGTTGTGTTTGGGAGAGATGTGGAAGATGGCATGAGAAGAATGCATGCGTTGGTTCCCCCTTGTTTTCGAGGAGTTGACGAGTTTGGTTCTGGTGTTCTTCACACGTTCTTTTTGTTCTTTAATTGTTTCTTTGAACCAGGAATGGCCCACCTTGTTGATGGGTGCGACATGTTTTATGCAGCGCCAAACAATGCCGGAGGCATCTTTGGGCCTATCATGTACTCGTATGTTAGCAAAGTCGTTTGTTCGAGGGTGCACACCATGGATCGTCCATGATTTTCCACCCATTTGATTTGTGGCACATGGATCTTGACCGAACACCTCACAACTGATCCTTTTTTGGTTCTTGGACGGCCTGGCCACGGGCCGGCGGCGCTGCTCTCTTCGTCCCCAGGAGATTCGACTTCCGCCGGAACCAACTCCACAGGAGCTAAGACCGAGGAGCGGCAGTCGACCGCCATCTCGACAGGTTGATGCGAACACGGTGATGCGACGACAGTCAACCAGACTGGCGAGACTGGTCACTCCAAGAGACGGTGCATAGTTCACCGGTCCAGTCACTATTTTTTGTCCATGTTTTCCACGTCATGCGTCGTGCCACGGGTGGGCTCAGCATCTAGCAGAACAAAGTCTTAAGTAGGTTGACCACTGCAATATATATATAATTATATATGCATGTATAGATATGGCTGTCTCGGCCATGGCTGTCTCCGCCGACGGCGGCTTCAGAGAACTCGAACCGGTGGATGGAACCGTCACGTCGCATAACCAGATCTTGGGATATCATTCATGGGAAAGTTATATCCAGGAGCATCCTGTTTTGTGTTTTTGACCTACCCTATAGTGACTTGGCGATCTGATCTATCTGATCTCATGGATGGTCAAAGGTGGTGAGTGATTAAACCTCCTGGTACTTGCTGAACAGCTCTCGATTCCGGAATTGCCTGAGCGTTCACTATGAAGAAAGTCAAACAGCAAAGCCACCAAATTTGAAACGGGATCAAACATTGTGGTGACTCTTTTGAAAGCACACCTTACTCAAATATATATATATATATATATATATAAATGCTTATATACAGCCTGGCGCAGCTAGCAAACCTTCCTCATTACATGCAGTATTTAGTGTTAAATATTGACGCATTTGATTGGTGTGTGTAATTACTGTATGTGTTAGCAAGACAAAGAGAAATACCGAAACAGCCATAAAGGTTCACTGGAAACCATCTTGAAACTGTAGCAACCCGTGCAGTGTGCACCAATCACCACATTTGCCCCCTGCTTTTTTGGGGGGTTCCAACCCCCTGGCGCGACTGATGCGCAGGGGACCCCTCGCCCGGGCTCGGCAGGCTTTCGTATTGGCCCAGCGGTGGCGGTGACCTCGGAAGCATGAGCCGACCACGGAGGTGGCGGTGGGGTTCGTGACACGAGAAGATTGGACCTTCCTGTGACACGAAAGAGAAAGGACTGAAGGGACTGACCCTGAGAGTCCCGTCATGACTCATGAACTAATTACTCCACCTGGTAGTCATCATCCACCACTACCATGAGGTTAAAATGAGTCATGACTGGACTCTCAGGGATAGTACTGACGCTGAGAGTCCTGTCGCCCTGTCATTACTCATTTTACCCTCCTATGCTAGGGGTGCATGGTGACTACCAGGTGCAGTAGTTCATGAGTCCAAACGGAAGTGACTGACACGGTATCTTAGAGCCGAAAGGAGTCCATTGATCCTGAAAAACATACACACACACAAAGGAGTCCGTAAAAATGGATCGAATTCTCCAAATGTTGGGGCCAATCCAAAGACCCTGTTGAAGTTGCAATGTGATTGGACTTGCAAGTCGAAGATGTATAGAGTCGGCTGATGAGGTAGCTGAGCATGTTATCCAAGCTGAAGGACAAGGGAATCAAGTCTTTTGCATGTGTGCATGTGTTGCAAGGGCGTAACCATTGGAACATCCCGAACCCGAAAACTGGCGGAGCGGCGCAAAGGAGCTTTCACGGCTTCATACCGCACAAACACGACGCGGATTCTGTGTGATAACCCAACAGAGCTGGATCCATGTGTGTGTGTGTGTGCGTTTCCGTCAACTGGTTGATGGCGGTCAGCCTCCGAGAACCGAGTCAAAACACAATTGCAGCTTCCAGACAATGACCTGGGTTCTTTCTGAACAAGGTCCTGGTCCTTTTGACTGTCCCTTGCCCTTAATTCAATACACCATTCCATGTTGTTGGCATATGTTTCCACAATGTAATATATAGATACATTTTGTTCCATTTGCTTGAACACATGAAAAACAAGGACTCAAAAAAAGCACACACACACATCGATGGTGCTGAAGTTTCTTCACTGGGACGTCCCGACCCGGACAACGACCCTTCCCGGAGCCCCTCCTGGCTCCGGTGGCGCAGGGGATTCTTTATCATTGGATCTTGGAGCAGCTGGACGGAGCCTGAAGCCATGGAGGATCGGATCTGCGAACCGGGACCGATGGGGATGGATGGGGTGATAGATGGCAGGTGAACCATATAGCATATAAGGTTATATAAAGATATGATTAAGATAAGTTGTTGTTCTTCTTTTTTTGTGGCAGATGTTAATCTAAGATGGCAGGTGTACCTATATAGATTAATATCGTAAACATATACATTATTAAATTATGTATAATATTATATATGTCAGTGTGTCTCAGTATTTTCCATCCAAGTATGGTACGAATGTGTTCCCTTGGATGGAGGCAGTTCCCCGCCATGCGGAAGACAGCTGGTTTTAGAAGCTTGCCGGTCCCTGTTTCTCTGGCAACGTGGGCCGTTGCGGATGCGGACTGGGCAGCTTGCCACGTGGGAGACCGACACCGCGACCGGGACCCAACGGACCGAGACCGAGTCGAAAAGCGTCGTCGTTACGAAGCGTTGGACTGGGCCAGGATGAGGGTGATGGCTGCCAGGGCCTCGGAATGTGCCAAGTGTGCGGCTCGAAGCAGATGGCACCGAAGCAGATGGCCCGGAGACCGGGACGCGCGGACGGAGACCCGGCTGGGTCTCGTGGCCGTTGCTTTTTCTCAGCGATGCGAGGTTTAAAACACAGAAACAAAGAACGCCCTCACATAGGAGAGTCCTTGGTCCTTTGGCAAAGAGGTTGCCCTTCAGACCCTATAAGGTCATCCAAGACTTGGGGACGCCTTAAAAACCTGTAAATCTCATTGCCTGCTGCAGGTTACGGCTATACCCTTGTTTTGGGAGATGAGCGATGGGTGCTGGGCCACAGACCCGCCTTTTCCGCGGTGTGGCGTGTCGTTCGCCTGTGCTGTGCGGTGCGTTTCTTTGTTCAGAGATCCACGACTTAAAGAATCTGCACAGGGTTCCGAACCTTTTCAGATGTGTGTGTGTGTGTGTGTGTCAGATGCATACTTGCTTGATCTTGCTTATGGCCTGGTCATGCGCCAGGCTAAAGTGTCAAGGCTGCTGTGCTGATGGTGAATTGTTGGCAAACGAGCAGTTATCCCTCTTTGCATCCACAATTCCAAGGAGCAATTCCAGCTTCTCATCGACAACAACTATGCCAAGGCCGACTGTTTTTTGGGTGCAACTGCTTGTTTTCAAAGTATTATGTGTCTTCAACACGAGCAAACTCTATCTCACTGACACCAAGCAGCCATGTGTGTTCAAACATATCAGCGGGCAGTCAAAAATAATCAAATTAAGTTTGATTGACCAAATTTCAAAGTGACCCACAGTTCCCTTGTTGCTTATTTGCCTTGTCAGATCTTCTTTGCTTAGCTTGTCATGATCTATGTCTCATGCGGTGATTCTAAGCCGGAAGCTCACTCGTCATGAAAGACCTCTGTGAGCCGTTGAGATCAATCCCACCTGCCATATCCGGGGCTCTGGGTTGTGGGACATACCTAAATCATCCTAAATCTTCCTCGGATGGAAATGTTTGTCCGAGTTGATTTCAGATCGGAACGGAAATTTGTTTGCGCTCAAACGAATTTGCCTGAACTAGGTGCCAACAAGTCAGATATGGTGTATGAGGCCCAAATGAAGAGATTGGTATGGGAAGATGTATGTCTTTGAGAACCCAATGACCCGGGGCCGCCCGCCCTAAGCAACTAATTATATATATGCATAATAAACCAGCTCTAAAGCAACTACTAGTAACATGTACTAGATCCGATTAATGCACTGACGCTGGCAGGGGTAAAGAAACATATAGACTGTGCGTATCGTGTAAACAAACACACTGGCAGGGGCTCCACGAAAGATGTTGCTCCCTCTCTTTCGCTTAGAGAGTCCGTGCAGGTGCTGCATCCACGGCGCTTCAAGGCTGGGACGACCCCCCACCACGGGCCACGACCACAACTGCTGGCTGGCTTTGCCTATGACGCCTATGACACATGACACACACCTTTTTTTTCAGGCGCTACTAGTGTATATGGCATGGGTGTTACTTGAGTGTAATCCGTGAAACCCTGTGTTCTTTTTGGAACATGGATGAAGATTGTGCCTTTCTTGTCAGCCTGTTTTCTGGAGGGGATCCCAATGATTAGCTTCTGAGGGGTCCTGAAACTGCTCAAAGACCCTGGGCCTCCCCCGGAAGATTGTCCTAGTAGCCGGTTCACGGGCCAAACGTCATAGAGTGGTTGTGTCTCAAGGTCACACTCCGAGTATGGAGGCACTGGACCTTTCTCAGGCCAATCTCCCTCCAATCTCCTATTATCTAACATGTTCCTGACCTCATTTCTCAGGCCACGAAGGTCTCAGGTCATCCAGTAATGAATGAACTGACCTCATGTTCATCGCTGGATGACCGCCATCAGCGACCTCATGTTCTCCGCAATGAGACGCCCAGGCGCCCAAGGGCACGGAGGTGTACGGCCCGACGCGCACAGAGGAGGTGATGCAGGAGTCGGGTGGCGCACGGGGTTGACGTTGGACACGTGGAAGTGGACATGGAGTTCACCCGCGGTCATACCCACCGGTCACCTTGCTACGTCCTGTCTATTCTGGTCTTTACCAAGAATGATCATAGATTAATTGAAAAGCCTCCGTGATCTAAATATGAAGACTGTTATACCAGGACCCTCCAAGGGGTGCCCAATGGAAGCCTATAGGTAGTGTGGGGTAGTCCATTGGACACCCCTTGGAGGGTCCATATATATCCCTGTGCGAATTTCCTCTAAAAAATCAGACAATCCGGGTTGTCATAAAAAACAAAAACGGATGAAAATATACAGTGCCAGTCTACAACTGGAACCTGGGGGTTCCCATTCTCTATAACGCCAAGAGGGGGTTGATTTATTAGAGACTTTGGTTGTCGAGCGTTAGCTCGAGAATGGGGTGGATTTTTAGAGAAAAGAGTCTTTGCAAAGCCAGATTTGCAAATCCTAGCATGGGCTCAACACACAGATGCAGAGACCATACCAGGATCATCCATAAGCAAGCATCAAGAAGAACATGCATGAGTCGACTTTGTTCCACTCGAACTCGGACTGTCAATTCTTTAGGCCTTTTGAGCTTTTCCTTCAAGTCTCCAATGTTTTGGCAGATGCAATCTGGCTTTTGATTCTTTTAGAGAATGTTCTTGATTTTTTAGTGCCACTTCTGGATACTGAACCTGGGGGTTCCTAAAGAATTGACAGTCCGGGTGTGAGTGCGAATTGGAAGGGTGATCCATATATATTGTATTCCAGACCGGTTTCTTCTCCACCTCCGACCGACCCGGCGGGTCACGGTGACGACCATCAAAAGCTATAGCTGCTCCCTACCGGAAAGAGCGAGCGCACCGCGCTGGCCGCGCGCAGTCCGGGAGAATGGCCCAACCACCCCCCTCACCTCTCACCTCGCCGCCCATCGAATCCGGGTCGCCGCTTCTTCTCCCCAGGAGAGCACCTGGCTCGTAGACGGCCGCCCATTCACGGCCCAGATTCGACCCATTGCCGATTCACAAGGCAGGCGCCCTACCCGGGGAAGCCCGGGTGGGGGTTCGTGTGGCATGCGGTGGGATTGCGGCAGAATCTGGCAGAAGCAGGGAAAACGTGTTTTTGTTCTCTTTCGGGGACAGGGTGAAGTGGAATTCGGAGAGTTTGGGGGGTTGGATCTTGAAGAGAGATTCGATGTGATTGGATTGATCACGTTGAATGTTTGATGTTTCAATGATCTGTTTCATGACCCAAACACTTGATCTTCGGACCTTCAACCCGTCACCCGGTCGTTCATCACCGGGTCCGTTCCTCCGTTTTCGTTCGTTGTTCGGGTCTGAGACCGACGACGGTCGGAGGGCGGTCGGTGGGTTCTTCGAAGCCCCAGAAGCATACAGCCTACTAGAGCAGCTGTACTAGGACCCACTGTCGGGGTGGTTTTGCTGGACCCCCTTAACCTCTAAGGGGCTATCAATAGACACCCCTTAGGGTGTCCTGGTATGCTTCTATATATAGTTACTATAACTAGAATAGCAAATGAGCTATATAGCGATGCACTTGCTCCGTTCGTAGCGATGGCGCTTTGTGAGTATATAGCGATGCAAGTTGTTTTTCCAATCAGAGTCGGTCGTGTGATCATGTCGGATCCCGTCACTTCAAGACTTCAGGCATCCCCTCCTTCAGTGGTTGATCCCTGGTCAGGAATCCTGCACCTGGATACGCGCGAATAACATCTGCACAGTTCTGTTTCTTCAAAATGAGCGAACTCGATCTCCCTGTGTAAAAGGTCACAAAAGAGGTCACTCCAAAGAGGTTACGACTGGAAGTGGCGCTGGTGGTCGACTTGGCGCTGTCTCTGCGTGGCCGCTTCGAGGCTCTAGCGCCTTGGCGGAACGGCCTTCGCCCATGGAGTACAAGAACGAGGCCGAGATAGAGCTGAGAAGCACCGTTTTTCTGAGCTGCAAGGATGAGTGAGACTGAGTGAGTCGGGAGTGAGGTAAGAGTATATAAAAACCTGATCGTTGGTTTTCAGGAGGGGCAGTGTCCACCTTCCACTTAATTACACCTTTTTTTGTTGATTTTTCTTGTACCCTTCAAGAGGATGATAGGCGTGGCAGGCCGGCCACCATTGAGTCATTGAGTACATCCTTCTCAGAATTCATTCACATCTGGCTCAAATCTTGCAAGGAGTGATCAGCAACCCCCTTAATAAATCTCAATAAGGTATCTATGTGAGTGTGCATGCTTTTAAGAACAAAAGCATTGCAAAAGCTGTTAGTCACTGTTAGTCTACCTGCCAGTACGGAAGGGCGCAGACAAAACCTCGCCGCCCAGGATGAAGGAATGCCTGGTCAGCGGTACCGCATTCGTTGGGAAGCCCAACAGGGCCGGGTGAACACCCATTTTCGCACGGACCATTGTTGCCTCACATGATTGTTCTTGGGATCAAACGAATCATAGTCCCGATGTTCCTAGTCCTAGTGTTGCCCCCCCGCGGTCAGTGGTCGACGAGACTCTCGATCTCAGAGGACACTTGATTGGCATAAGCACTCTAGACGATGAGGATGTAAGATATATTCATACCTGAGAAACAGTATGTTCATTTTTTTGTCATATACGGCATTTTTTTTTTGGTCATTACGGGGTTTGCCCAAATATGGGCATATACGGTCTTCTCTCTTGGCTCAATAGGGTACCATATTCGGGTGTTCCAACGCAGTATTCGCACTAGTATGTTGGAATATGGTTACGGTGTTTTTTCAATAACATATTGAAAAAATACTAGTATCATACGGGTACCCCCAAATATGCATGCAAATATGGCAAGTATACGACCATATTCGTATACAGTTCCCATTCATACAACATAGAGTCCCCCAGAGAGATGTCCTTGCGCATATACGGCATATGCACAAAAAAAATGTTCAATACGGCTTGAGGCCATAGTGATCAAAAAAAGTGATCATACGGGTTTCCAGGTATATATATTATATATTTATATTTGATTTGTAGAGCTGTATAGCGATCATTTGTGCGAGCCAGGCTCGCAGTTGAGTGTCCAACCTATGTATCTTCATGGTGCGCCATCGTCCCGTGTTGGACCGCCGGATGATGTGTGTTCCGATGTATGTTGAGCTGAGGTTTACATATTGCTGGAAAGTGGCGAACAGTCACTTGGGCGAAGCTAGAGGCCCGAAGTCACGCACCGACACTGTCGTTTCGGGTGTGTTGGGCGGTGTTGGCGCGTAAAAATGGTTCAGTGTTGGGGCGTCGGTAGCGGTTTGGGGGGAACAAATTCAGGTCAGGTCTTTATGAAATAGTCGTTTAACGATCTCACATGAGTGCAGGTCAGGTATATTCGACTTCAGAGCCAATGTCTCCAGACACATTTTGTCATTGTTGGTCCACCCTCCGCTTTTACTCCTCGGTTTCGCCAGGGGAGTGGCAGTGGACCAGCGGCATTGAAGGGGTAGGAGGTGCCGCCCGCGTGGGCGACGCGCGCACGGTTCGACCTGCGTCGGCATGCGTCGCGGGTGTGGAGGTGACAAGGGCCAACTTAGTAGCGTCCTTGTCACTAGTATTAATGACCTCCACCCTAATAGCGATCGCTTTCCCCTACTAGCGTCCTTGTTCTATATTGATAGAATTGTCAAGGGCAATGTATGGCCCAACTCGGTAGCGATTCGCTGGTGAAGCTTGGCGACGTCATTTTGGATTCTCGTCGCCGCCCCCCCAATTCTTTGGGAGCCAATTTGGGCAGAGTTCCGTGACCTGTTAGCGAATTTGTAATAAAACAATGTATGTACGCGAGAGAAGTCCCCAAGAACCCCCTCAAAGGAAAATTGACCAAAAGCAATTAATTGGATGCGGGATGGAGAGCGGATCTCCCTAAATCAACTGTTTCATCCGTTGAGTACTTAGCTAGTCTCGTGAGCGGAGTACATTGCTCGATGCCCGAGTTCGCTTTGTTTCAGACCATCACCGAGTTCTTGGTCTTGAAGGGACCCCAAGAGGTTCGCCCCTGGCGCAACACGGATCCAGAAGCGACAAACATATGTTTCACCACCAAGTATAGACGGTTGAAAGTCCGGTTGAGTTCAACCCCCCCTTCACTTGGATGGCAAAAAACCTCTTCATAAGGATGGGGCTTTGTGAATCAAGAGTCTACATTCCCTTGTGAACAAAAGCGAGGCTTCCATGCCGTAGCGCCAGTTCGCTGCCGTCTAGACGCCGCGGCGCTTCCACCGGCCTCGTCCCTGGAGCGTTCCGCCCCGGCGTCAGTCCCACCAGTGAGGGGCGCCTCAGTCTGCTAGTGGACTTGCTTCGTGCGTCTTCGATGAAAGATCCAGCAGCAGTGGCGTAAGATCAAAGAACCTGGGTTAAAGTAACTGGTTTATGTCGTTTTTGGATTTATGACTTGTTCATGCTTGGTCCACCTGCTTTTGAGGTCATAAGCCTCATAAGCTGGCCTGTGAAGTTGAAGACCATGTTGTTTTGACAGCTTTTGAAGACTATGGTCGAAACATAAAGAAAGCTACTGCTTCTGAGTTTGGTGCTTTCAAAGGAACGCCGTTTGGCGTCGGCATGGTCGGCATATGGCCATTCACGGCTGACTTTCGGTGAACGGTGGAGACTGTGGCGAAATGCACTTGGACTCAGAATCAGATGAGTTGGACTGACCCCGAGACCGTGGAGAGCCCCCAAGCCATGAGAGCAAGGGTCTTTGGTCTATTGAAGTCTATTGCCCTTTTAACTCGAAGGTGTGTGTGAGCAGAGTCCCACTCCCGATGTGATTTGTCCCTTCCACCTCGATTTGAGCCTCGCGGTCTTCTTTTGGGCTCCAGGTTTCCAAAGCTGATTTGCTTTTGAGGAGAATCTCAGAGAGAGGAAGCCGAAGCACGTCTTGTTTAGAGCAAAGACGAGCTCCACCAGAGTATAGCCCACTCTCTGAAAGTTCCCAGGACTGAGAAGAAGCCTCACGGTCACGGGCCGAGCAAAAGTAATGAGTCACAACTGGTCCAAACTGGTGAGTCCAAAGAGGGTCCCTGTGCATGGAAGAAGTGACACACACACATATATATATATATGGAAACCATGCAGCCATAACGTTCGCAGTGCAAGGAACTCGCAGTCTGAACAACGACCATCAGCTCAAATCAGCAACGAAAAATCAGTTCGCTAGCCCCTCAGCCCAACACACCTAGCCCTGAAACACACCAAGTCGCCCAAAGAGTTGCCTAATCTTGCGGTGCCTGCCGTCGTCTCCGAAGAGTTCCGCGGCTCTCCATGGGATGGACGAGCGGCTCGAGGAGGACGGCTTGGAATGGGGCCGCGAGGCGTGCTTGCGCTCGCGGCGTGCTTGCGCCACGTGGTGTTTGCGCGGTCTGCGAACGACGGTGGTCTGCCACGGCAAATGACGTCAAATGACCCATCACATGGTCCACTAAATAGATGCAGTAAATATAGAGATGGTTATGATGGTTGATGATGGTTGGGTTTCCGACTGGTGCAAGTTCCTGGGCTTCGAGTTTCCTCTCAGCGTGGTTGAGGTCTTGCCATCCAGCCTAGACGATGAGCTGGGAGGAGAGGGCGACGCGGCGACACTTGACGCTTCAACTCTCAAATCAAGTCTGAAGAAGGATCGAGAAGTGAGTCGGTTTCACAAGTCGCGCAAGTTGCATCTCACAAGTTTCCGAGAGTGGGGAGATGGATGGATATGAGAATTATTAGACAGATGACAGAAGCTGAGATGCGGCTCATCAGAAGGGTTGATCAGGACCCTTCCGGCCGGATGTCCCTGGACGGCACGGCGGCCCAAACAAGTGGTCACATCCCAACAAAAACAAAAACATAAAATCAACATATCCAGCAGCAGACCATGCCATACCATGCCCAGATCCCGATGGTGGAACTCATCGGACATCGATGGATCCGCGCCGATCCGCGACTGAGGCCTGGCTCGGCGCCTCCAATTCTCCATCCCGACCTCGATGGCCGGGCAGGGGATGGTGGGCGCGAGATGCACGTGAGATGGTTGGGGAGGTGACTGGTGCACCTGATCGAGACCTGGTGGGCTGGTGCAGGCAGGTCCTTGAGGTAATTTTGAAGGTAGTGGCCAACATGAAATGTTCGTGGCCAACGCATGTTTGGAAAGGGTAGGATGATCCTGAAGTGATGCACTGCTCCCCAAGCGGAAAAGGCCTGCTGTGTGTACCAAGTGTCGTTCATGGTCGTTTAAACAGATGATCCGGTCTCTGGTCGGACCAGTGAGATGTGTTTTTTATATGTTATTTGTTTTGTTTCTATACCCAAACACTCCATGTATGGTATATTTATATACCTACATTGGGGTGGTTTGAGGGGTCAATACCAGACATGGAGTGTCTGGGATATAATACCTTCAATTAACTTGTAATTGATTAATTGCAGGGGTGATCTATGTGGATTCCAGGTACAACTTGTTCCATTGGAAGAAGGGCCTAAGGGCGTCGGCTTCCAGAATCCGTCGTAGGACTGTCTTGCACCCTTTCCTGCCTACGCTTAGCCAGTCAGCCTTAAAGCAGGTGCAAAAAAGGAAGAGGTGATAGAGGTGAGATGAGATCACCAAAACCCCCAAGGACACAGTCAATGGCCCATGACAGAACTATGCAATCCATGAAAGACTGGAGTATCTATACTCACCTGCCTTTTGGGGTGAGTTTAAGAAGTTTTGTGAAGTTTTTCGAGGGCTGTATATATTTGTATATACAAGTATTTCTAACATGAAGCAGGTGTACTCTATTTGGCTATGGCATGGATGCTGACCGGGTGACGTCAGCCGACCGGGTCGTTGAGCGACCGAGGCTTCTCCTTTCGACCCTGTGAGGTGCGGGGGAAAGGGTGCACCGCAGCGGTGGATGCGGTCCCCACAACTGGGGAGAGGGGATTGATGTTGTTGTTTTGTTTCTTTTTGTTGTGTGTTTAATCATGTTTTATCCAATTAACATGGTGTGTTTTTTTAATGTTTACTTTTTTTAAGGGGATTGATGGCAGAATTGGAGAAGCATGGAGAAGCTTTATGTTCATCATCTATAAATATATATATATATATATTGACGGTTTTCCTTATGTGCGGATGGGGTTGAACTAGGTCGAACTCTAAAGAACTTGTTTCCATGCTGCTTCGGGGGAATACTTGATGCTTACCTGGTTTCATTGATCTTCAAGAGATGGATCATTTGGGTCAAAGAATCAGAAGACTGCCACAAACTACCCCTTTATCGCCCCAAAATTGGGTCTTAGGCCAAGTCTGTTTCCTTTCCATCGTCAATCTTGGGGCCTGACTTTGCTTGACACACGAAATAACCTCCAAAACATTAGTGACTAAATTGTCACTAATTAGACGCATATCAGCGGTGGGGGCAGTCTTGGCGGCCGGATATCACGCAAGAACTCTCAGCACTCTCTCCAAAGCTCAAGCACGCTCCTTTTTCGCAGGCACGACCTGCTCGTCCCTGCTCGTCTCCAAAGGAGTATGGATAAAGCATCACAACTTCACGCCATCCCTTCCACCCCAGATCTGCAGATTCATCTCCCCCGCGTGAAGCCGCGCTCGCCCCTAGGCCGCCCGGAAGGCCGCGCTGGGCGTGCCGCACTTCGATGTGCCCATCCGCCCGCGCTCCGCGCCGACTCACCAGGCCGGGGCCGTGCGCCCGGTGGAAGAGCCCCGAAAGGTGAAGGCCCAGGGTTTTGTTGCAGTATGTTGTAGTGTTATAGTCTATGTTGATATAGTTGCTTATGTTATAGTGTTCTGTTATGTTAGTGTGTCTTATGTTTTGATTCAATGATGGTGTTGGATTGCTTCTACTAGATGTTTTTTGGGGCGGGGTTCGACATGGTTCAAAAACAACACATGTTGAGGTTTGAGCCAGGGGCCAAGAGTTCTGGTGGAGTACTCTTCATCCAGTAAATGGAACACTTTGACAAGTTCATCCATTGGTGTTGTTCTGAACAGGTCGACAATTGCTCTGAGCCAAGATGCCTATATCGTTTGCTACCCTGTTTGATGGTCATGCTCCGCATCATGATTTCCTGTGCAAAATTCAGTCGCCTCCCACGGCCTCAAAACCTATGGCTTCCCCCCACTTCCATCCGCATCGGAGCGACGGTGAAACCACCGTCGTTTGAGAAAAATCACCGGAAACCAGCGTCCATCGCCATGAAACAGGGAAGCCCTTGGCTCCATCGACCATGGGAGTCAGTGACCAAAGACTGGTGCTTTAGGGAAGTCAATGACCAAGACCCATGGTGCTCTCCCGACATTTGACCAGGACATTCTGGATCTGCTGGATGACGAGGTCCGCGGAAGATTGGCACACTTCCCCGGGTGGGTTGGGGGGTAACCATGTTAAATATACTATACGTCAATAGACACATTTAGAACATCTCATTATAGATGTTCCAGTTGCAGATGTGGTGCCAAAAGATCAATTACTGCTTTGTATAGAATAAATGACCTCCATGAGAAATCTTTGCTTTCGCACCAAAATGGCCCTCGAACTGAGTCACGCACACCCTTTCGCACCAACAAAAACACCGCGCACACCGGTACGGCGTTACGCTGAGCACCGGTACGCGGAGCACAACCTGCTCCGCACCTTTACTCCTCCGCAGTTTCTCCGCAGGCCTGGCGCTTTGACTTGAAAGAGAAGGATTTAAACGGTCTGTACCCAATGCAGGCGGATTCCGAGTCGTCCCCCGCCGCTCCGCCGTACTCGTCGCCAGCAGACGAGTCGCACCGGGTGACGGAGGGGCGGAGTCGTGCACCGGGTGCACCGGGTGTTTCGTAGGTTGATCCAAGCAGGTGATGGACATGTATGGACGACTTGCAGTAGTTGCAGCACTTGCAGTACTAGAGTCACTAGAGAGTTGTTTCTCTCTTTGGCTCCTCGTTCTGCACAGCCCAATGTAAAGAAGCTCCACGACTGGATGAGACCTGTGGTCACACTGAGTCACTGCGTAGGTCAATGTGTTCAGTCCCATGTAGGAGTGCTTTTTGGGAACCTATATTTTTTTGGGGGGGATTGGAAGTTCACTGGTCGAATTTTGCACCCGTTTTCCGTGGTGTTGACCGCTGCCAAAATCGGAGGCTCCTCCTGTGGTGCGATCACCTTCACCCCTGATGGGTGAAGGCACTGGGGATTGGCGTGATCGACTTACACCCTGGTGGGTTGTTTTTTTTGTTTGTCCATCAGTTTTCGAACATAACATATATGAATGATTATTGAATGATCATTTAGAGAAATAAGATGAAATAATTTGTGTGTTTTTAAATTTGTTTATTTTTTCCAGATACTAGCTGATACTATAGTATCATATATAATATTATATATAGTTATCCATACATGACACCGGTCGCAAGGAGTTTTAGACAGATGTTTCTGTGTGCTTTCTCACTCTTGGTATTGGCTTCTTAAGACATGTCTTGGTGCCTCTTTGTAACAGATGTTCGACAATGTTGAAGCAAACCGTGATTTGCCTGTAGAAATAATGAACCAACTACATACATACTTGGAGGCCCCCAATTCACTGTAACCCTACCAGTCCAAGGACCTATATAGTTAAACATGGTTCTTGACCATATTGAGCATTGGTTTTTGCATGACCGGACCCAGTGGAATGAGGCCCTTGACCTGTAGGGTAAGTAACAATAGGTCAATCATTGGGACACTGTGTTTGTCATCGTCCCCTTGATCGCAAATGATCAACTGAGCGTTGCTGCAGCGAATATGGAACCTGAACCACTTACTATACAATGGTGTTCAAAGACCAGGAAGGGAACATGATCCCGGAAAAAAAAGAAGAGAGAAACAAAGCAAACAATGATATTAAATGATGCGAGGCGGTGTACCATGATCGCCGATGATCGCCGGGAACATCCATCATTGTTGCTGTTTGGAGAACATCAGCCATTTCGGTAGACGCGGAAGACAGAAGAACACGGTGACATCATGCGCTGCTCTCACCCATGGTTTCTGTTAACGTTCGGTCCGGGCGATCGGAGCCGGCGACTCTTTAGGACGCTTTTGGTCCAAGAGTTGGTTTGTGTTTTGTTTTTCTTTTTCAGGAGAACTTGGACTCTGCCAATGGATGGTCCAACCTCCAGACAAAATCATGGACTGACCTACAAGCTGACCCCCACTCCCTTGTAGAGTTATGTAGAGTTCGACCCGGTGATGTCGATCCAAGATTTGTTGCCCAGAATGTCCGATTTCGAGTTTTTGCACATGTGCTGAAGAGCACGGGTCAGCACGGGTCATTGGCTGGCAAGGCATTTTTGGAGCACAAACCTTTGTAGTCCAGGCGATGTGCAGGAGCACGTCTTGTCACGGGAGCACGGTCCTTGACACAGCCAGTTGGATCGATGAACAACGCAACAACGACACGGTCGGACCTGAAGAAGACGGTGTTTGGATCCAATTCGGTCTATGGAACACCGGCCGAACACCATGAAACACCCTTTTTGGAATCCTCTTTTGGAGGATCCAAACCGGTCCGGAACAAAGGACCATGGGGGAACCGATGGTTCCGAAACCATGGCACCGGACACAGGCGAAATGCTGGCCGCGCGAGCGCGTGTCTGGGGCTTGCCCGGGGCACGTGCTTTGCAGGCCGGTTCGGACGCGTGACATCGCTTCGCAGGGGTCCAACAAGAGTTTTGACAGTATATCTTCATATCATCTCCAGAGGTCTCTTCAGTTGGGAAGCTTTCTGGGGGTTCCAGGAAGTGACTGTTGGCAGCATGGGGAATGTCACCTCTTTCTTCGTTTCAATGCTGTAAAGATCAAAAGAGTTGCACCAAGAGTGGCACCATGGTGACCATGGGAACGGGCCATGGTTGCTACCGATCTGTGGCTTCGATCTGTGGCTTCAGTTGTGGCAGAAGATGGTTAGACCCTTTGAAAGGTCCCGTATCCAACACCACACCGAGGAGAGGAACCTGTTGGGAGCATTCCCAAATGATCCACATATGAGAACGTAGTATATAAATATATATTAGTACAAAAATATATTTATATATATTAGTACATTATAACCATATATTAAAACGTTTGACTCAAATGATTCACATGATCCTTTTTTTGGCTGGTATATCCATACTTATACAAAGCCACTTGGTTGATTTATAATCCGACAAAGCCTACTATCATCTAACAAATTCACATGCGCAACAACGTATATTTGCCGTAGACCAGTTAGTAAAGGACTTTGGATAATGTGCATGTTCCTTGGAAACCACTGTCACTAATTACTATAAATATATAATACACGCATGAAAAAGCTCTAGCACCATGTTCAAAGTATGCCGTTTGTTACAGTCTTTTGCATGACTGGTATGTTTCTCCAACACAGGGTGTTGTATCCAAGCTTTGTCCAGCGTGTTTCATTCCTTTTTGAGTTTAGAGCCGCCACTTGGAGCATGTCACGGTGCTGGCAAATACAGTCACCGGTTGCAGCACATGCGTTTTGGACCAGTCACTTGTGTTATCGCAGCATTTCTGGGTAATTGTTATAGCACCCCTTCTGGGTGGTATAGTCACTTGTGTTATAGCAGCACTTCTGGGTAAATGGTTCAGTTACTGCTATGCCGTGGGTGCGAGCGGTCACGAGCGTATGAAGTTGGACACAAACAAACTTGTCATTGGCCTTGTCGCTGTAGCATAGAAAAGCTTTTTTCCGTCAGACTGTGTTTCCCTAAACCTTTTGTATATATCCCAGACACTCCATGTCTGTCAGATTTGCCTACATTGACCCCTCAAACCACCCCAATGCAGGTAAGTATACCATACATCGACATGGAGTGATTGGGTATCATCAAACTAGGTTTTCGATAGGGTCCTATCCTCCGGACAAGAACCCGGACTTCAGGACTGTTCTCAGACCACGAGGCCTTCCAAGGCCTTCCAGCACACGTTGTTGACGTCATTTCGGTACAACTGCATGTGCAGCCGATCCTGCACAAGATTCCTTGATTGAACAGAGTGTGAAGGCGAGAAGCAGATGACATCTGCTGCTTCAACCGGATCTCCAGCTTCGACACGAGACCAAACCAAAAAGTGCGGAAGCTTGTCAGCGAGCAATCTGAATCTTCGTCGTTGATTCGTCGATATCTCCTTCGTCCTCCTCGTCCAGTAGCTCTTCACACATTCTTCACAGTGCACCGCGCTTCAACAAGGCCAGCGGAGCCTCAAAACTCTGTAGGAACTTGGAAAATCAGTCTCCAAAAAATTGTAGTAGCTCACCAAATTTGAATACGCACACTGCAGATATGACAAATAAACTGCGTCGCTCATATATCAAGTCATTGAACTTAAGTACAACTATGACGACCTGGGTGTTTCATGGTTTTTCCGACCGGCCAAAATTGAGGGTGACAAGATGTATTGTAAACCGATTTCCAAAGCCTGCGACCGGTGGTTGACCCAGTCAACAAACCAGAATTGACCCAGTCAAACGGATCCATTCGTCGCTACCTTTTTTTTGCGAGGCGGCCGCGATGGAGGCAGTCGGAAGCTCCCAGCCGTGAGGATGGACAGTTGTGGATTTTGTGACGCATGGACAGGTCAAACTTCGTCAAGGTGAGTGAGAACGGGTCAAACTGAATCAAGGAATGTCACCGTGATTTGCGCCGAGAACATGTGCATGACTTGAACCATGGTTTTGACCATTCACTTCAGGGGATTCTTGGAGGTTTCGAGATGTTTGGAGGTTTCTTGGTGCATGTTCATTCTCCACCCTCTTCTTGGGTCCAAAGACCCTCCGAAGATCATGTCGTTCACTGAGGATCGGTACACCCCTCCGCCGACACAGGTGCGGCTGGGACGTTCTGTTGGTGGCCGTATTGGGCCACCGGGCCAGGCACAAAGAAGGTGTTTTTACCTTACTTGTAGGGATGCAAGTACCTTCTGAGAAGGTGGGACTGGGTGAGTTTAGAGGGTGCAGTCGTACCTTCTGAGGAGGCACGACTGGAGCCCGAGGGTATTTGAGTGTGGATCGACGTTTCCCATTCTGCAACGGATTTGGCTGCACTTTCTCGATGTCGTTGTTCAAACCCGACTGTCGCGGACCCGGCTCTGAAGGAAGACACTATATCTGCAAGCAACATCAAGCAACCATACCCACTGTCCGACCGTCCGAGACCTGATTTGGCGGTCTCCCACATGTTAAAAACCTGTTGGCGCGGTCCGCGCGGAAGAAAAGCAAACAGCTTCACGATCGTCAGCCCCAAGGGATCTCTCTCGCCGTACCCCTCGGCCCCGAGAGCGATCTGTGAGAGCTGAAGGATACCCGAGAGAGAGAGAGAGACAGAGAGAGAGAGAGAGCACGCGCGCGGGGAGAGAGATGCAGTTTCTTTGTTTATGTTATTGTTTTATTTTGTCAGTTGAAGATGTCTTAGAACGAGTTGGTTGATGAACATGTTTGTCAAAGTCAAAACACATTTCTTGTGTTTTAAGCACGCCGAAAAAGAAAAAGGCCGCAGCGGATTTCTTGCTTGCCTTCAAAGCCCTGGGACAGCACTAAAGTCACTAAAGTGTCAGTACAGATCTAAAGAATATATTATACAAAATGTAATATATGCAAGATATCATGTTATAACAATATAATTGATATATAGATGTATGATGTATGATTTTGGTGTTAGATTTGTTATGATTTGTTTAATAAAGTTGTTGTATAATACCAAGCTGTTGACTTCTTCGCTCGCAGACGCCCGTCATGTGCCTTCCTCCCCACAGAGAGAGCCTGGAGTCACTCCTCGGCGCGACGGCGGAGGAGGAAGAGATGATCAATGCCACCCGGAGCTTGTGGAACTGCTTGGAGAGCGAATCTCAGAGGCTCTGGGCGGCCATGAGCCCGGTGCTCAGGCCATTGCAGCACGACTTGGTCGGACAGGTCATCATGCTTCTATGTGAGTCCAGCTGCTGGGCTGTCAAGCGCCAGGCTGTTTCTTTTCTGCAGGCTTTAGGCAGAGATGGCAGCCTGGGTGATGAAAACACCCTGAAGCTACAGCGGCTTTTGTATCATCCCGACCGCATGGTGCAGCTACTCTTGGCGCGGATTTTAGAGCACGTGCCACTGGTCTGTGCTCGCTGGAAGCAGATCATCAGTGATCGCAACATGGCAAAAATCGTGGTGCAGCATTCAGGCCTGGCTTTGGAATTTGTGGAGTCAGAGTTTCAAGAGGACCGAGAGATTGTCTCCGCAGCAGTCTTGCAAACAGGCGAGGCCCTGCAGTTCGCGCCGAATCTTTGTGGCGATGAGGAGATAGTCTTGGCGGCCGTGATGAACACGGGCTCTGCTGTGCGCTTCGCTGATGAACAGTTGGTGGAGAAGAACCCAAGGCTTCAAATGTTAAAAGATGAAAGAGGTCTAGGCCTGTGGGGCAACTATGTGGTCTTGGAGGAGATCGGCAAGGGTGTGGGTGGCTCAGTGTGGCGCGCAAAGGGATGCAGCTCTCAGCAAATGGTCGCGATCAAGAAGATGCACACAGACCAGGAGTGGCAGGAACAGGAACTACTGCTAAGAGAGATCGCCTTGTTGCAGTCGCTCAAGCATCAAAATATCGTCCAACTCAAGGACGTTTTGATCCTGGGGTGTCAAGACGTGCGGCCGGTCTTCGAGTTGCTCAAATGTGATCTCAGTGAGGTGTTGAAGGATTTGAAGAGGAATGGGCAGATGATGTGCATGGACGATGTGCGACGGTATAGCTTGGACCTTCTGGAGGGCCTGTACGCATGTCATGCCAGGGGTCTTATGCATCGGGATTTGAAGCCTCAGAACCTCCTCCTGTCCCACGAGGGTTCCCTGAAGATCGCAGACTTTCGCCTCGCTCGGGAGAACGTCGTGCACAACCGCAGCTACAGCCTGGATGTAGTTACCTTATGGTACAGGGCACCGGAGTTAATTTTGGGAGCTCGGCAATACAGCTGTGAGATAGACTGCTGGTCGGCCGCCTGCGTGATGGCTGAGATGGCCACCAACTGCCCGCTCTTCCCGGGTGATTCCGAGGTGGATACCCTCTTCAAGATCTTTCGTCTACTTGGCTCCCCAAGTGACACCCACTGGCCGGGGGGAATGGCCCTCCGGCACTGGAGAGGGAGGTATCCGAAGTGGGAAGACACTGGACTGAAGCCACTTTTTGATCGTCGGCCGGAGCTTCAAGAGCGCGTGCATGGAGATGGTGGCGACCTTCTTGTGCCCTGACCAACGCATGACCACGCTAAGCGCCAAGCAGCATCCCTTTGTGGCTGGGAACTCTGAGCTACACTGAGCACAGCAGATGGCGGGCAATGTGCTGCGGCCAACGTGTGAAATGAGCTCTCGTCGCGAGGATGAGGAGCATGAAGTATCAGAAAGTCATAGAAGTCATTGTGTTCAAAACATAAACAACGTTGGAGCCTCATTCAACCGCACAAAGCTCTAAAACATAATTTTCTCAAGGTGAAGCACCACTCATCCTTTGGCAGAGAGGAAATCATTGGAGACCTTTGAGTTAGACACACCCGGCTCGAACTGACACGCTGGGTGGAATCTCAAGACTCACATGATCCGTTACGTGTTTTTTCTCGGACCGTTCTTGTTTCAGATTCAGTTGCAAGCGGTGTATCTCCTTACGAGTTCTTGTTTTTGAACATGACTGGTGATC